CCTTTCTCTACTGAAAAGGAAACCAGCCTTTCCAGACCCTTCCACTGAGAACCAGCAAGAATCCACACCTGCCCCCTGTTCATGAGGTAGTATACGTGGAATGGGGCAAATTCTTCATCTCCACAGTAACACAAAGTGCAGGGGACGGGCCATGAACTAGCAGACAAGAGGAAGTGGGTCTGAAGACCTAAGCTTCTGCAAAAGGGCAAACAATGCAGAACAACTTAGGAAGCCCAGGCCATGTGTTACCTGAACTTCCCCATCTGCCCCCACCCCTGTTGCATCAAAGCCAACAGCTACCTGAACTGATGGAGCAGCCAGCTCTGGGGAGGAGCTGAGAGGCTCTGGGCTGTGGCAGTTATAGTAGCCCCCAGCCTCCCCCACCCAGAGGCTGTCACTGCATACTCTGTCACAGCCAACCCACCCAACAGTCTTCTGGCTGAGATAATTTCTCCCCACTCCTCCCTCAGAGCTAGAAAACTCCAGTCCAAATCCCTCTGAACACTATGGAAGGGCACCTTCCAGGTGCCTGAAGACACAACACAGGGCTCAGGCTTGCCTGTCATCCTCCCGTGGCCACCAGTACAACATGATCCCACTACTCCCTACAAACACACAATGACGTGACCTTTCCCCCTCCAGAAAGGATCAATCCATCCACTCCATCCTTTCCCCTACACAGTGTATTCCCGCAGGCATCTTGGTCCACCTCTAAGGAGCCGTCCTCCCTAACCACAGACTCAGGGTGCCATGGCCATCCCCAGCTGTGATGTCTTTGGGGACATCCAGTGCTCCCTCCCTCTTCAACATCAGCCCTATCAGCTGTCCCCAGGGGAAGTTCAAATTTGAATTCCCAAGGAGTTGAGGCATGGCAGACTCGGATAATGCCCCCATCCCTACAGGCTCACCTCCATTTGAAGCCATCCCCTCAGGCTGGGCACTGACCACTGCTGTCTGGCAGTTTCCGCAATGAGAAAAGTCAAGGGCAGGACCCAGAGAGTGACCTGGCTCAGCAGATGCTCCTGAGTCCAAGTGGAGCAGGGAAAATTTGAATGTAAATAGCTTTGGAACATAGGACCCCAGACATTCTGCAGAGGGGGAGGGGCGGTGGGCAGCTGGGCTTGGCAAGGGTGGGGGACATTCTGTGAAGAGCTCTGGCCAGTAGGCAAGAACCTGAGTTTCCCTTCCAACTAGATGGCAGCAACACAGACGGTGTGGGCCCCTTTAGGCAACTTTTAAATTGTCCTTCTGACTCACAGTACCTGATGTCCCCTTTACTTCATTGTACCTGATGTCCCCTTTACTTCATTCTTTATCAACAGACCTACTTTTGTGCCATTCAACCCATGCTCCTTCCCACTTTGGCTCTTTCCCACTCTTGATGAATTTCAACAGGGGCTGCACTTCCCAAACAAAATTCAGAACACATTTTCAGTCTGAGAAACACAGGGGTTCTTAGGAAGGCAAGGGGACTGGGTGTTTGAAATCAGGATGGTCTCAGCTGATCCAGGCTATTAGGTGGCTGTGCGCTCATCATTGTTTACGAGGCAGTCCTTGTGCCCCCGGGTCATGTATGTTGCTGGAATCTCTGTCCACAGCAGCGGGCAGGCCTTACTTCCCATCCCCTTTCCTGGGAAGCCTCAGTCCAGGAAAGAGTGGCTATGTGACCTACAGCACCGAGACCAGAAATCCTTTCATTTTGTTTCCCAGCGTATTGTGCTGGTGTTAAATGTTTATTTTTTTATCTTTTACATGATTTTAACTCAACTAAGCAATACTTTTGCATGGTTCCAGATTCAAACTGTGCACAGTGGAATAGGCAGTGACCAGTCTTCCTCCTACCTCTTTTCTCTGGCCACCACATTTTCTTTCCTGGACCAAACAGGTGTTATCTGATTCTTTTTCATCTTTCCAGAGATATATTATGCAATCAAAAGCATAATAAAGCTATTTTTGCTGTCTAAAAATATTTTGGTTTTTTGGGTAAAAATTAATATATATGTTCCAGTATTCTTGTGATACTTGCAGTGACCATGTTTGTCCCAGTAATGTGGTTCCTGTCTTTATTTCTGTAGGTAAATTGCTAGAACGAGATGTTGCTGTTTTTTAAAATTAAAAATACATGAAAGAACATAGTGGCCAGATTTAGCAAGTATGAATAAAGAATACCAAGTGGAATTTGAATTGAAGATAAACAGCGAATTCATTTTTACTATAAGTATGATCCGTATGATATTTAGAGTATACTTTTACAAAAAAAATCTGTTCTTTATCTGTGTTATTCACATTTCACTGGGATCTTGCACTGTATCTGGTAACTCTTCCCAAAAAAGTATAACATATTAGGCAATTATTGTTTTTATTTTATTTTTTATTTTATTTTTTGAGATAGAGTCTCACTCTGTCGCCCAGGCTGGAGTGCAGTGGCGCAATCTCGGCTCACTGCAAGCTCTACCTCCTGGGTTCACACCATTCTCCTGCCTCAGACTCCCAAGTAGCTGGGACTACAGGCGGCCACCACCATGCCCGGCTAATTTTTTGTATTTTTAGTAGAGACGGGGTTTCACCGTGTTAGCCAGGATGAGTCTCGATCTCCTGACCCTGTGATCCGCCTGCCTCGGCCTCCCAAAGTGCTGGGATTACAGGCGTGAGCCACCACGCCCGGCCTAGGCAATTATTGTTAACTCTCCACTGTGAGAGTGAGAACTTGCAGTAAGGAGACTCAAGTGTGAATCTTGGCTGCACCGCGAAAAGATTCTGCACCACAACCATTGCAGAAAACAACAGCAGGCTGATTTGATGAGAGGAAGTCAGGAGTAGCCATTATATCCTTCTCAGCTTCCAGGTTTAGTGGCAGTATGCAGTTTTAAGGGACAGGAGGGCAGAGCACCGTCTTTTTCTTTCCTAACATAAAGCAGCTTACAATTCCTAGAACTCCGGTTTCTCCAGGAGTTAGAAATTCACTACCCATGTCCATTCTGAGACAAGCGAGGATGCTGTCCACCAATGTCCCATCCCCATTCCCATGCATCCCCTCGCACGTGTGAATCCTGGCTGGCCTCTCTCAGCTCACTGTTGGCCTCATCTTCACCACAAGTGTCATTGCATGTGGTTCTGTGTGGGAATTATTGTAGCCTGTCTTTAAAAAAAACTTCATTCTCATTTTCACACTGAGAATTGCTGCTTATCAGCGTCAAAATGACAGGAAAGAGCACTCATGTTCTGTGCTGTGAACAAGGGGAGTTTTAGGAAACTGGTCAAAGGAGATGAGGAGTACTCAGAGCACAGCAACAAAATCTGAGACACCCATGTCACTCCCTGCTGGGCAGGGTAATTTTGCACTGATGGGAGGGTGTTGGGGAAGGGAAGAGGCCGTCAGCCGGACTGGTGCACACTGTGAACATTCACTGAAACACACCCTGTTGGCACTTACGAAGCATTTGCCCCTTTCGAAGACATTTGGACTTAAGAAGGCAGAGTTGCAAGAAAATGTAATGGGCCACACCACAGGGGAAGGCGGTGGATTGCAAGTCTCAAGCCCAGGGTTCTCCCCTCCTCGCTCCAGTTGTGTGAAAAAGTCATTTCCTAACTCCTGTCCAATATCCTCTGAGTTCTCGATTTTGTCCCAACTCTAAACCTGAACGGTCCAGCGAGCATTTCTATAAAATGCCTCCACAGTGGCCACTGGGAGGGGAGTGACCTCCACGCAGTGACTGCCTGTCTGGGTGTTCCCAGGCCTTCTGTCCTGTGAGACAGAGCTGCCTTCTTACATGCAGCCCTCTTCCGCTGTGCAACGCTACCTCGATCTTAGCTGAGAAGATCAACAGAGAGCAATTCAAGCAAAATCATAGTAAACTTACCAAAACAAAACAAAAAACAACCACTTTGGAGACCTTTCTGAGGACTTGAGCTTTTATCATGGGGCAAACATAAATGATTTTCAATCAGTAACTTCATCTAAGAGGGCTGTTGAGGCAAAATATCACACTCAGGCACTGAAGAAGGGCAGAATTCTTGGTTGCTTCCTCCCGTGTCAAGTCAGTGAGCCGATGCTTTCTCAAGATTCTCACACATGACTTTGATACAGGATTTCAATGAGTCTTTTTCTGAGCCACTGATACAAAAAGCATACTGTGGAACAGTGTCTTGTCTCAATTCTGCAGTCGCTTCTGTACATGTTTGAAGTCCCAGACCCCAGGAGGAGAGACAATCAAATTAGCCAAAGGTAATTTGTGAAGACTGGCCATGGGAGGTGGTGGCTAAAAGCCCTCTGGCCCCTGCTCTCTGAGCATGCCCACACAATGTCCTGGGCCACACTGACTGCTGAGAAAGAACATCTCAGGGCTTGGATCCCCTGTTCAGAGGACACATGCTTTTCCACCCAGTCACGGAACAGTAGAGGAATGGCGGCTCCATGCTGTGTCTTGCAGAGCTCTCAGTCTCTGCACTTAAGGCTCCAGGTCGGCCTGGATGTGAAGGCTCTTCAGTGTCATCACGTGGATGACAGACAATAGGAATCCTGCAAATGAGCAGAAAAGATCTGATGATGAAAGTTTCTTCTGAAGCTATCACAAACTCAAGTCAGTGAGTTGCTTACTAGCTTTTTTTTTGGTTTTTTTTTTTTTTTGGTTTTGTTTTTTGTTTTTTTGAGACGGAGTCTCGCTCCGGCCTTGAAGTGCAGTGGTGTGATCTTCTCTCACTGCAGCCTCCGCCTCCCGGGTTCACGCAATTCTTCTGCCTCAGCCTCCCGAATAGCTGGGACTACAAGTGTGCGCCACCACGCCCGGCTAATTTTTGTATTTTTGGTGGAGACGGGATTGCACCATGTTGGCCAGGCTGGTCTCGAACTCCTGACCTCAGGTGATCCACCCACCTCGGCCTCCCAAAGTGCTGGGATTACAGGTGTGAGCCACCGCGCCCGGTCAGACGCGCTCGTTTCTAGGAGGGACGGGTCTTGGAGGTTCCAAGGAGAAGGCGTCGCCTGGTCCCAGGAAGCGCCCAGGTGCCGCGTCCCTCCATTTCCCCATCTCCTGCGGGCCCCTCCCAGGGCGGGCTCCAGGCCTGTCCCGTGCGCCTGCGCACGAGCCTCGAGGTGGGCGGGGTTCCAGCGCGCAGCCGGCCGCCCTCAACCGCTCGCTCCCAGCATCAGTTGCCGGTGGTTCGGGGCAGGGAGAGGGCGCAGCGCGAGCAGAAGGGGCGGTTACCCAACGGCCTTCGGTCTCATGGCGTCCTCCGTGGTGTTACCTAAAAATAAAGTTATTAGTGATTAGAAGGTAATCGCCTCCTGGTCATGCTTCCACTGGTCACCAGTGTCTGCGGAGCGACCCCATCCTTGTGGCCAGGGCAGGCCTGTGGCTGCGCTCAAGGCGGGAGCGTTCCTTAGCGGGGGCTCTGCGGGACGCCCAGGCCCTGCTCCTTTCCCATGCTCGCCTGGCCTTGAAGTGAAGGGGGAAATTTAGCAATGCAGTGGGAACCCCAAAGTTTGTCTCGGCGGTGCCGCTCACATTCCAAACAATGCAAAAGTTTGAGGAACACCTCAGCAGTTGAAACGTGTTGCAGTTCAGCAAAGACGTAGCTCCTGTCCTCGTAAAATCAGTGAAGTTCTCCCGGACGACCTCATTTGAGTGAGTTGTCAAGCTTGTTGACTTAATCAGAATGATCAGCCAGCAATGCATGTTCCAATACGCTCATTTGCCAATGATATGAGCAGCTGCAAAGTGGAAGAACAGGCCTTTAGTCATAGTCTGTTGACTTGGTAGCACAAGTTGGTTGTGGATGCAAGAGTGTGGCCAAAGTCAAGAAAAGCTTCTATGAGAATCGCTTACTTATGTGGAATTTACAATAACAAGTAGTGCATATCATTATTTGCAAATTGTAGACTACACATGTATTATATCTAAAATTTACTGCACACACGTGTGTGTCTTCTTGGGCAGTTGGGTCAGTGTGTGTACTTGAAAATGTGAGAAAGATTTGTTTTGCATTTTGGGGGTTGTGAGATTTGTGGGGGTGGCTGTGTGTATGTGAAAATGTTTATATGAATTCTTAGTTTGGAATTTGATATGCATTTAATTGGTGAGAATCTAATGTGGATTCACCTGTGTGGGTCGGCGGTGCCTGTGTGGGTCGGCGGTGCCTGTGCGGGTCGGCGGTGCCTGTGTGGGTCGGCGGTGTCTGTGTGGGTCGGCGGTGCATGTGCGGGTCGGCGGTGCCTGTGCGGGTCGGCGGTGCCTGTGTGGGTCGGTGGTGTCTGTGTGGATCGGTGGTGTCTGTGTGGAGATTGCAGATTAAAGAAGGTCATAATTGGGCTGGGCACGGTGGCTCACGCCTGTAATCCCAGCACTTTGGGAGGCTGAGGTGGGCAGATCACTTGAGGTCAGGAGTTCAAGACCAGCCTGGCCAACTTGGCGAAACTCCGTCTGTACTAAAAATACAAAAGTTAGCCAGGCGTGGTGGTGCGCACTTGTAGTTCCAGCTACTCAGGAGGCTGAGGCAGGAGAATTGCTTGAACCCGGGAGGTGCAGGCTGCAGTGAGAGGAGATCACGCCACTGCACTTCGAGGTGGGAGCGAGACTCCATCTCAAAAAAAAAAAAAAGAAAAGAAAAGAAAAAAGAAAAGCAAAGAAGGTCATTCTTAACCATTCATAACTGCTTTTGTGAGAGTGTGTAAGAGTGAGTGTATTTGGAGATATGAGGTGTAATATATGTATACAAGAAGAATTAGGATTAGATATTTGCGATCTGGGTTGTGAAGATGTATTTTCCATGTGTTTCCTCAGATGAATGTTGGGGATTTGTATTTGTCTAATGTTTGGCAGATTTGGAAGAATTACCTTGTTGTGCATATTGGCAATAATAGAGAAAGTGCTTGTGTCTATTTTTGTGGATGTACACTGTGGTTTACATATTTGGGGAATGTAGGAAGACCATATGTGTGCTCAGAATATGTTGCATGGTTGTGTGTGTTTCTTTTCATGATTTTCAGGGGTTGCATATGGCTATTTCAGTGTGTGAGGGCAGATCCATGACTACTGGGGGACTGGTAGAATGAATGTGTGCAGTTGTGAGGTAGAGTTTGTATGATTCTGTGTCTTGGAAAATGGAGGAGTTATTTCTGTGTGAGCATTTGGAAGTGTGATTACATATGTGCAGGTATTGTGGGACTGTATGTGTATTTGGGGATATCAGGTGGCATGTTTGCATGTTTGCATATTTGCGGCGTGTTAGTTAATCGCAGATATATTTAAGGCATATAGGGAACTACATGAGTATTGAGTTTGTGTGTGTGTTCAAGGGCATGGCAGTTTAGATGAATGTTTTGTGGAGCTATGTGCTTGTATTTTTCAGTAAGTGGTTATTAGGGTTATATATTCTGGGAATGTAGTGTGTGTGCGTCTGATAGAGAGATGGGGTTCTGTGTTTATACAGGAGAGTGAGATAATTGAATTTATATGTATTACAGGTATGTGATATGGTTATTCGTTAGTACTTGGCGATGTGAGAGACACTCCCCTTGTTTACAAAGTGGTGCCCAGGTGGTTTGTGCAAGTGGAGAACATGGTGGACCAGCTCCTAAGGAACAATGACCTGTGCTACCGGTGAGCACTAAGATGTGTTTCTTCATAATGTCTTTTGTCATGTGGTTAGTGTGGCTAACACTTCCCCCAAGTTATAATTTTAATAGCCGTCTTTTATTGTGTATTATAATACACCATGTTGGCCAGGCTGGTCTCGAGCTCCTGATCTCAAGTGATCCGCCTGCTTCAGACTCCCAAAGTGCTGGGATTACAGGTGTGAGCCACTGTGCCTGGCCTTCTTTAGGTAATTTGAAACAGTTTATAACAAAAATTTTAAAATAGACTACAACGAAGTAGAAGACAGACCACCACATAGAAAGTAGAATGAAGTTAAAATTCTGGGCTAATATAATTATGCTGGCTAAACATCACTAGAAGCGGCAAGTTATAACAGAGAATGTAGATTTTGAAGTCAAACACATTTGTTCACCCCTTCCTTACTGTATAATGTTGAACAAGTTGCTTAATTTCTGAGATGTAACATCCTCCTCCACAAAATGATGTAACAATTATGTTGTAGAGTGTTGTGAGAATTAAATAAAATGACATTATGTGTATTCTGGATGATACTTAATAAATCTATTTTCTTTCCCTTAAGCTGTTAGTTGAGACAAAAGGGAGACAGAATTATGCAAATTTTGTTGTTGAATATAAGGCTTTGTTTCTGAGATTCTTGGAAGTGTGGACCATCAGCATCAGCATCATCTGGGAAGCAGTTAAAAATGCAAATTGTCAGCCAGGTGCAGTGGTTTACGCCTGTAATCCCAGCACTTTGGGAAGCCGAGGCGGGTGTATCACGAGGTCAGGAGTTTGAGACCAACCTGGCCAACATGGTGAAACCCGTCTGTACTAAAAATATGAAAATTAGCTGGGCGTGGTGGCGGGCGCCTGTAATCCCAGCTACTCGGGAGGCTGAGGCAGGAAAATTGCTTGAACCTGGGAGGCAGAGGTTGCAGTGAGCCGAGATTGTGCCACTGCACTCCAGCCTGGGTGACAGAGTGAGACTACATCTAAAAAAAAAAAAAAAAAAAAAAAAATAGAGCTGGAGTTTGGCAAGACTGGTCTTGAACTCCTGACATCAAGCGATCTACTCTCACTTGGCCTCCCAAAGTGCTCGGATTATAGGGGTGAGCCAGTGCGCCTGGCAATAGATTTTAGTTTAAGATAAAGTTGTTTTTTTTTTGTTTGTTTGTTTTTTTGAGATGGGTCTGGCTCTGTCACCCATGCTAGAGTGCAGTGGCGTGATCTCGGCTCTCTGCAACCTCTGCCTCCCAGGTTCAAACGATTCTCCTGCCTCAGCCTCCCGAGTAGCTGGGACTATAGGCACATGCCACCATGTCTGGCTAATTTTCTGTATTTTTAGTAGAGACGGTGTTTCACCGTGTTAGCCAGGATGGTCTCGATCTCCTCACCTCATGATTGGCCTGCCTCAGCCTCCCAAAGTGCTGGGATTACATACAGGCATGAGCCACTGTACCTGGCCAGAATAAAGTGATTTTTTTTCAAAAAAAAAAAATTTATTTTGGACCTTTAAAATTAGGCCACGCTATTAAAAAACAAAACAAAAAAAAGTCCACACTCTTATATTCAGCAAATTAATACTAAAATATTCCATTTTTGTAGGATAAAGGCCAAGAAAACTTTACATATGCTACAAGTTTATTACATGTATTTACATGGCTCTTTCTTCCCTAGTTACTTAAAACTTTCACATTATACATCTCTCAAAAGCAAGCTTCCTTTCCCCGAGGCAAGCTTTGCAGAAATGATACGGTCACATTACTATCAGAATAGCTTAGGCAGTGCCGTAATATAAAAATGTTTTGTTTTGTTTTTGAGATGGAGTCTCGCTGTGTTGCCTGGGCTGGAGTGCAGTAGCGCGATCTTGGCTCACTGCAACCTCCACCTACTGGGTTCAAGCGATTCTCCTCCCTCAGCCTCCTGAGTAAGCTGGGATTACAGGCATGTGCCACCATGCCTGGCTAATTTTTTTATTTTTAGTAGAGATGGGGTTTCATCATGTTGGTCAGGCTGGTCTCGAACTCCTAACCTTGGATCCGCCTGCCTTGGCCTCCCAAAGTACTGCGATTACAGGTGTCAGCCACCACGCCCAGCCATAAAAATGTATTTTGTAAGCTATTGAGTGACCATTAAATGATATTTTTTAAAAAATGGTATTGGGCCAGGCACGGTGGCTCATGCCTGTAATCCCAGCATTTTGGGAGGCCAAGGCAGGTGGATCACGAGGTCAGGAGATCGAGACCATCCTGGCTAACACGATGAAACCCCGTCTCTACTAAAAATACAAAAAATTAGCTGGGCGTGGTGGCAGGCGCCTGTAGTCCCAGCTACCTGGGAGGCTGAGGCAGGAGAATGGCATGAACCCGGGAGGCAGAACTTGCAGTGAGCAGAGATCGTGTCACTGCACTCCAGCCTGGGTGACAGAGCGAGACTCCATCTCAAAAAACAAAAAACAAAAAACAAAAAAATCCAATGGTTTTGGTGTATTTGTTGGCAGACACCTATCCACTGCATTTAGAGAAAGGGCCATTGGGGTATTCTCTGCCTTGTTCTAATAAACTCCAAGTGCCCTTTCCAGTTTCACCACTGTACAATTTACTAAAATGCAACTATTAGGAAAACTTCACATTTTCTTTTGGCAGTGCATCAGGTTGTTGGCATATTACTGGTTTGAGTGCTTCTAGTATACTGAACTTTCAGAAGTTTACCTACTTCTCAATCCTGTGTCTTAGCTAGATGTTAACAATCTGATTCACTTTCAGCAATCTACTATCCATGAATAATAATCTTATATTACTATTTTTCTCCAACATTCAATAGAAAAAGTTGATTCCCTTGCCAGTCCCCAAATCTAAACTTGAATGGTTTCACTTAAAAGTTACTCATTTGAGGCTGGGTGTAGCGGCTCATGCCTGTAATCCTAGCACTCTGGGAGGCCAAGGCAGGTGGATCACTTGAGGTCAGGAGTTTGAGACCAGTCTGGCCAACATGGTGAAACCCTGTCTCTACAAAAAATATAAAAATTAGCTGGGCGTAGTGATGCACGCCTTTAATCCCAGCTACTCCGGAGGCTGAGGCAGGAGAATCGCTTGAAACCAGGAGGCAGAGGTTGCAGTGAGCCGAGATTGCACCACTGCACTTCTGCCTGGGTGACAGAGCAAGACTCTGTCTCAAAAAAAAAAAAAAAAACCACCTCATTTGAGAACACTTAATAGTTAATACAATTATTAATTTAGTATTTTAAGTTGCACTGATGCTATCATTACATCACAGTGCACCCAACACATAAAACAAATGAGATGAAGTCAATTATATTTTTTATATTAATTAACAGTTCTACAGAAATACATTAATCCCTTGGTGAATTTGTTTTAGACCAGTTGACAACTATCTATAAACACAGCTAAATGTAAACATCAGTACTTTATCTTATTTTGTACCTGTACTTTAAGTAAGGTTTTCAGTTACAATGTCATTATTTCCTTATTGGAAGATTTAAAGGAAATAGCTTGGTGGTTTGGGAAGAACACTTGGTGATGGAGGCTTGCTACGTTTGACTCTGGCAAAGTTCTGATTAGCTTGAGATTTAAAAAGTAAGCTGGGACCTGAAAAGTTTAGAGTTCCCATTTTGATTATTTGGAAAATTTTTGTTCTTTCCCCCATCTTGCATGGCCTGCCCTACAGCTGCTGCTGAGTTATATCCCTGTCTTCTTTCTTTTTTCTTATGAAGAATCTTCATCGGGGGATTCTGACTCTTGGTCTCTTAAGCTGTTCTTGATTCTACTAACATTTCTAGATTGAGGGGCTGAAATGTTACACCTCTCTCTACCACCGTCTTCAGCTTCTTTGTTACCTGTCCTCTTTCGTAGTGTCGGGACAATAGGTGTTGCTTTCTGACAGATCCTTTCCTTTGTCTCAATACAGAAGTTTTCATGGGCTGAGCTGCTGAGTTCAGCCTGGGAACTGAGGCCAACACTGGAGTCTCCTCAGCACACAAGTTGGAAAGAAGTCCTAGTGACTTAAAGCTCAGAAGCATGGATGGCAGGGCTCCCTCTGGATGTGGAATCCTCCGTCCCTTTCCAGGGAGGGAACAAAGCCCACAAGCACTGGTGAGTGAACTGCTGACCACCCCCGCAATTTAAAAAATATCCTTTTTTCTCTTATCTTTGCAAAAATAACATGGCATAATATTTATTCCTAGCATCCAGCTACCTAGAGATACCACTTACCTGTCTCTGCCCATCGTATTATGTCTCCCTGTTTTCTTTTGAAGCCAGCCAAAATCTGTTTTGTAAACTGTTTTCTCCCCACTCAATATATAGTGGGCTTTTTTTTTTTTTTTGAGACGGAGCCTCCTTCTGTTGCCCAGGCTGGAGGACAGTGGCATGATCTCAGCTCACTGCAACCTCTGCCTCGAGAGTTCAAGCAATTCTCCCCCGTCAGCTTCCCAAGTAGCTAGGACTACAGGCACAGGCCACCTCGCCCAGCTAATTTTTGTATCTTTAGTACAGACAGGCTTTCATCATGTTGGCCAGGCTGGTGTCGAACTCCTGACCTCAAGTGATCCACCTGCCTCGGCCTCCCAAAATGCTGGGATTATAAGCGTGAGCCACCGCGCCTGGCCTATAGTGAGCATTTTCTGTCAATCATATATATTCTCCCATAAAATGACTTTAAATATGTGCAATAAATACTACTAAAAGGCTGGGTGTGGTGGCCCATGCCTACAATCCCAGCACTTTAGGAGACCGAGGTGCAAGGATGGCTTGAGCCCAGGAGTTCATGACCAGCCTGGGCAACACAGAGAGACCCCCATCTCCACACACACACACACACACACACACACACACACACACACACACACATTTAGCCAGGGGTGATTGTATGAATCTGTAATCCCAGCTACTCAGGAAGCTGAGGCAGGAGGATTGCTTGATCCCAGGAATTGGAGACTGTAGTGAGTCATGATTATGCCACTGTACTGCATTCTGGACAAAGAGTGAGACCCTGTCTAAAAAAAAAATTCTGGCCAGGTGCGGTGGCTCATGCTTGTAATGCCAGCACTTTGGGAGGCTGAGGCTGGCGGATCATGAGGTCAGGAGTTTGAGACCAGCCTGGCCAACACAGTGAAACCCTGTCTCTACTAAAAATACAAAAAATAGCTGGGCATGGTGGTGGGCGCCTGTAATCCCAGCTACTCAGGAGGCTGAGGTAGGAGAATCACTTGAAGCCAGGAGGCAGAGGTTGCAGTGAGCCGAGATTGCACCACTGCACTCCAGCCTGCGTGACAGAGCTAGACTCTGTCTCAAAAAACAAAGTTTTACCAAACGAAATTCCATGATTTAGAATCAGTCACCTATTGTTAGTTTATTTATGTAGCTTCCAGCTTCCAATTTTTCTACCACAAATAGCCTTGCTAAACATCCCTGAAAATTAATGTATGCATACATCCTGGATTGTTTTTCTTTTGAATACATTTCTAGATGTGAATTAATGAGACCAAACGTAGGTAAGAAATGGAAAGGTTTGAGTGGGC